TAATTACAATAATCATAAACTACTTATATGATAAAATACTTTATTGTATATGTTATTTATAAAATCAATATAAGGAATATTATTTACCCTTAAATAAGAATGATATGCTGTTATTTATGATACTATAAGTGAACCTGAAGAATGTATTACTGTAAGTACACCTTATAGTGCCTCATCTCACTTATATGTGGGATATAAAATAGTCTCACAAAAAAAGGGAGCGGGACTGTGCCTATCAAACCCTGCAAGGTTGGATATATGAGAAAAATGATTACAACATTTTACAAACAGCATAGTAGCTACAGTTAAGAAGACTATATTGTATATCTGAAATTTGATAAAAGATGATATTACATACTTAAGCAGGGTAAAATGGTCGACCTTAAATGATCTAGCCACAATAAGTGAAAGAAAATATTGATTAACTGAGGTGATAGATGTATTAACTTGATTGTGATGATTATTCCATAGTACATACACCTATCAAAACATCAATAGTATGCTCTCAGTATATGTGATTCATTAATAGAACTGGAAAAAAGAAAATAATACTAAGAGTACTACAAAAATAAGGCTACTTCTCAAAACAACATTTCTTTGCAGTTTTTTTCCTGCAGAATATATTCCAGTAGAGATTGACAAACTATTAAGTTTCAAATTCACTTGGATTGTTTAATTATTAAATGTTTGGGGAATATTTTAAATATATTTTTGTTCTCAATTTATGATCCAGTTCCTCACTGTCACTTATGTCTTCTATATGATTTAAGTCCTTTGAGATGTATAGCAATGTATGTTGAATGTTCCATGAGAACAGGGGGATATACAGAGAAATCTCACATCTGTTTTCTCTTGTTTCTTTTCCAATACACATTCCAGCAATGGCCCCTTGAAAACTAGATACACAAGAAATATTTTAGGAGCAAACCAGGCTATATTTGCATTTTAATCAAGGTCTCCACTGACTTTTACTGAAAGCTGAAAACCTGTAAGCCACTTGATATAGTTCCTTGAAACTATAAAACACAGAAGAAAGAAATCAAAGGAAATCAAAACACAAGGTATTTCACCACAGCTGTGAATAGGAAGAATCATTATCATTAACATGTCCTTTCTCCTCTGATTCATCTACAGAAGCAAAAATATTCTTAATAACAATCCATTGATTTCTTACAAAAACTGAGATGGTTCAAGAATTTGTATGAAAATATACAAGAACTAGAATAGCTAAAATAATGTTGAAAAAAACTGAAGTTGAAGAACTCATACTACAGGATTTCTACACATACCATAATATGCAGTATTGAAGAAAATTTATATATAACTATAGGAATAGATAGTCCAGAAATAGATCCACACACTGGATGGATGATTGTTTTACAGAAGTGCAGAGAGATGGAGAAATAGTAGCCTTTTCAGAAATATTGCTTAATAAATTGGATATACACTTACAAAAAATAAACA